CGCCATTGCACTCCAGCCTGGGTAACAAGAGCGAAACTCCGTCTCAAAAAAAAAAAAAAAAAAAGTAAAGTTGGGCATTAATTTCCTAAATTCAGTGCTTAGCCATTTCCTCAAATTGTTTCCAGTTTTTCTAAGAGACTTCAGCAGCATTCCCTGGAGTGAATTATTTTCAATGGTGAAGAGTACTGCACGGATGAGATGAGATTCTCAAAAAAGAAATCTTGCTTCTATTTCAGAAGTGTCCATCTTCAGCCCCTTTAAGGACCAGGAAACCTGGCTGAGTAATGTGGTCTATGGAGGTGCATGGGCTTCGGAGTCAGGCCAATGTTGATCCTGAGTCCCAGCCAGCTACTTGGTAGATGTGGGACTGTTATAAGCCTTATCTGCAAGAAAAGACATAATAAAATTGATTGCAAAATTAGAATTTTTAAAAACTTTTCTTATTGTATGCACGTTCTTGGAAGTGGGTTTTATAGTGGTTCCCATCAAGAGATAGGTTCTGTTTCTCAACTCTTGAATCTCTCTTGCCTTATTTGCACAGGCCAAAGCTGTGCATATCACAGTGTGCCAGTTTGGGGCCCAGGCTCAAAAGGTCTTAAGTGCTTCTGTTATCTTTTTCAGCATTTTTTCCACATCCATGAAAACAAGCCCATTTTAGCTTTCTGGAGGATAAAATAGCATGCTGAGAAAAGCCAAAGTGTCTCAATTTACAGACAGCTCACCTGCAGAAGCAGATCCCCTAATTCACCAGCAGCTGACCACTTACACGGGAAGGAGCCATACCGAACCCAGAAGAGTGGCCCAGCTAAATTTCTAACCAGCTCAATCCTGAGCTAGTATGTTATGGAGAGGTTTGTTATGGAGTTATAGCTTGCTAATATACACACCCATTAAAGACAGGATTCCAGGATGCTAAGACAGATTGATTACAAATAACCTGCAAATGCTTTGTACCCTAAAGTATTGATTTTCTTTTTCCTTTATTTAAAATTATATTTGTTTTAAGATTGTTTTGACTTATATAGAAGTCAGGCAGGAGAATAAGGTCTGGAGGCAGGGAACCTAAGGCCAATTTGTGTTGACTTCCTAAAAGAAAAAAACACCAAGGTCTGGGAGCAGGGAACCTAAGGCCAATTAATATGAATTTCCTACATCTAGACCAAAAGGAAAACCGTCATCTTCCCATACCTGACTAGCAAAGGACCAAAGGCTACTGTCCCTAAACTCTTCCCCTTCCACCAGTTCTCTGATAGAAAAGGAGGGTGCCTTGGAGTGGCCATGGGCCAAGCACAGACAATGCCCTCATTTGCATAGGGTACCAATTCACCTCAGGCTTTAATTAGCCATGGTCCAAATCCTTCATCCAGATAAGGGGGTAGCTGATAGGGACCTCTAAAGGAGTACTTAAAACCCAGAAAACTTTGTAACTGGATCCTTGAGCTGCTTGCTGGGGCCCACACCCACCCTGTGGAGTGCTTTCTCACTTTAATAAACCCCCGTTTTTGCTGCTTCCTTCATGCGTTTCATTGCTTTGTTCAATTCTTTGTTCAAAATATCAAGGATCTGGACAACTCACATTCACGGCCTTCCTTCTGGGAACAGAAGTGCAGGTAGACGTGAAGGTTATATGATGGTTGCACGTGGATAAAAACTTTACCCTTGTCAGGTGAGGTCCCTCCCAACTTTGTTCTACTCTCTGGTTGTTTCCTTCCCTCCCTTAATGGGTAAAGGAGGACGGCCCGTGCCACCAACAGAGAGCATAATCTATCTCCTCTTGTAAGACTGGGCTCTTATTATTGACATACATTATCAGATGTTGAAAGACCTAATCTTTATCCGACCTAAATTTTGGCCAGAAAACTGCAGGCTTGAGGATCGGTTGTTTGATCCAAATAAAACAGCAATATTTTATCATTTGTTGCTTTTTTTCTTATGCTTAGTCCTTTCATTATCCTTCTGATAATGTTAGCATATGCCCTAAAGGGCTGTCAGAAGGAATCTGATCACCAGAGTCAGCTTTACTTCCTGTCTTTGTTTTACTAGAAGCTTACTCATATCGGGGTACTGGTCCAGTTTAATCTCCTGAAACCAGCAGAAGGCCCAACCCCTCAAGCTAGGGATGTCTGCCTTTCTACCCCGAAAGTCCCAACCCTTCAAGCTAGGGATGTCTCGCCTTTCCAGCCCTGGGAGGTTGACCTGTTCCCTCCCTTTTCCCTTCTGAAGGTCCCTTGCACACTCCTGCATACACACATTCAATCCTCCAGAAGTTGACCACTGAAGAAGTACTTTGTCACCCTCTTGGGATGTTTCCTACCTTGGCTCATGCACGAGGCTGCCTGGCCACCTGTGCAGCAAGTCTCCCTTTCCCCCATGTTGCTGAGAATCCAGGTTTATTCCTCACACTGTTGGGTCCCAGCTCTCCACCCCTAGGACCAGCTTCCCATACAGGTCATCAAATTGTTGGGAATGAGTGCTTATCTTCCAATGTTGCAGGGAAGAATCAGCGTTCAGACAAAAGGTTTCTCAGCAAGGCTTTCTTTTACTTTCTGCAGAAAGGGCACTGCCCGCCAGCAGTCTTGCCATGAGAGTGCACTGAACAAAGGAAGAACATGCATATTTATGTCTAATGCATTTGGCTCTATTGCTGTGTCCTGATTCCATTGGCTGGAACTGGACCTCACATGCTAGGCTATATCTGATTGGCTAACAACTTAAAATTTTCCTAAAGAGGTAAGGGCAGAGGAGAACAAAGGAAAAGGAAGTGCTTATGGAATGCTGAGAGAGGCAAAAATACGTCTTAATAAGGAAAGAGGAACAAGCTATGATGTAAGGCTTGCCTGGACTTATCAAAGCACATCAGGGCAGATATCTAGGCTAAAATGTAAGAACTAAGAACACAAAATACACTGATTTCTTTGTTATAGCTAGCAGATGTAACAAAGGCCATTGAGTAGATTAACCTAGAGAAAAAGCCTACTAGCTATTCTTAATAGGCTAACAGAATTTGAAGAGGAACCTTTATTTATTTCACTTTCTACATGTGGTTAAGAACTTCCTCTTATGCCAGGATGTTGCTCAGGCGGGACTGTCCCAACTTAGGCACAGGCACAATAAGTTAACCTAAATTTCCTTGACTTTACTCTGCTCATTATAAGGTCATTAACATGATATTAGCATTGTGGTTTTAGCTCTTCCTCTGTAAGATTCACTTATGCACTCATAGGTAATAACCAAGAGGGAGTCACTGTGGTCTACCACAGGCATGTGCAGATGCAACACCTTGGTGGGGAATTTTCCCCTCCCATTTGGGTAGAACCCACAGAAGACTTCCTTGTTCTTGCCACATAAAAGACTCAGAACTTGGGCCAGGCACGGTGTCTCATGCCTGTAATCCCAAGCACTTTGGGAGGCCAAGGTGGGCGAATCATGAGGTCAAGAGATCAAGACCATCCTAGCCAACATGGTGAAACCCCATCTCTACTAAAAAGACAAAAAAATTAGCCGGGCATATTGGCGGATGCCTGTAGTCCCAGCTACTCGGGAGGCTGATGCAGGAGAATCGCTTGGACTTGGGAGGTGGAGGTTGTAGTGAGCCAAGATCATGCCACTGCACTCCAGCCTGGGGATAGAGTGAGACTCCGTCTCAAAAAGAACAAAAAACAACAAAAAAAGACCCAGAATTCAGCCCCATTTCTGGCAACCTGCTTTCAGTTACCCTCATTCTGCCCAGAGTTTTCCTTTTACTTAATAAATCCTACTCTGCTTTATTCACCCTCCAGTGTCCATGTGCCTCATTTTTCTTTGTCATGGGACGAAAGCCTACACCTGGCTGAACTGAGGAAACCACCACACCTCCACCAAACAGCAACTGGGAGAATGTGATCTTCACATGGACACTCTCTGCTTGCAGCCTCTGCTTTCTCTAGGGTCCCTATCCCACTCACCCTTCAGCCTAAGGGGAAGTTGGTAGAGAGAGGCTGTTCCCTCACTTCCAGCAGAAAAGAGGTATTCAGGCCCTTCCTTCCCTGAGGTCAGAGCCCTCAGGGCTACACTCAATGTGGCAGCCACCTGCTATATGAAGCTACTGGGTACCTGGAATATGGCTGGTGTGAAGTAAAATGTGCTGTGAACAAAAAATGCACAGGGAGTTTAGAAGAATTAAATCAGAAATACACTTTATTTCTAGTTATATATTGATCACATATTAAAAGAATAGTATTTTGGATACAATCAGTTAAAATGATCACAAACAATTTCACTTGTTTCTTGTTATTTATTATTAGGTTTTATGTGGCTAATCAAAAATTGTAAATTCAAATATAGCTAACTTTTTAAAAATTTTATTTATTTATTTATTTTTTTGAGACGGAGTCTCCCTCTGTCTCCCAGGCTGGAGTGCAATGGCACTATCTTGGCTCACTGCAATCTCTGCTTCCCGGGTTCAAGCAATTCTCCGACTCAGCTTCCGAGTTGCTGGGATTACAGGCGCCCACCACCATGCCCGGCTAATTTTTTCGTATTTTTAGTAGAGACAGGGTTTCACCATATTGGCCAGGCTGGTTTTGAACTTCTGACCTCCTGATCCACTGGCCTCAGCATTTCAAAGTGCTGGGATTACAGGCGTGAGCCACTGTGCTCAGCTACATTTTATATTTTATTGGATTGCTTCCCTCTTAAAATCTCAGGTGTCCTACTCAAAAGACCAGAGGCCAGAAAGGTTATGAAATGTAAAATATTAAAATAGTTGTCATTATATTGTTTCCATTTGTGAACAAGTGTGTCTGTGTGTGCGCACGCGCGTGCGTTCACAGTTTATAAATGCGTGTAACCTTACACACCAGAGGGTTAAAAATGAACCCCCAGCAGAGCCAGGCTTAGCACAGAAAGCCCTGCCTGAAAGTGCCTGCAGGAACGAGTCTGTCACGCTTGCCTCATTCAGTGCACTGTATGGTCGCAATTTCTGTCACTCAAAGCCTGAGGGCGTGGAGCTTGGAGCCACATCCAATCAGRGCGCTGGGCTGAGAACTGCCCAATCAGGCGCACAGCCGGAGGAGAGAGGGCGGGATCCGGGATCTGGCGCGGCTTTTGCTCCAGCCCGAGCTCGGTTAGGGCCTCACCGCCCTGCTTTCACCCCCTCAGGGAGGCCCCGGTGATTCGGCCACAGCCTCTGCCTCCGTCGCTCTGTGAGCTGCGGGCATCGGATGATTCGTAGCTAAGACTCCGCGACACCCTGAAGCCCAGAAATGGTGAGTGTGCGGGGCAGGGCGTCCCGAGGCTGGGGAGGCCTCATCGGAACCGGCGGGAAATGGCGGCGGCGGGACCGAGTCTGTGAGCCGAGTCCCGGCTGCCGCCGCTCAGCCGTCGGTCCTCAGTCCCCTCCGGTGAGGGACCCGGGCTCCCGTCGGTCCCCGCACGGCGGCTCTGGCCCAGCCTGCAGCCCTTGTTGTGCAGCTCTGCGCCCGCAGCCCGCACCTTCCCCGGGCTGTGAGGTGAGGAGGTGCTGATCGGGAAGACGCCGGCGCGGCGTGCGCGGTGCCTGCGTGGGAGGCGCTGTGGTCCGGGGTCCCGTCCCTACTGGACCCTGTTCGGAATTAGAGGGAGGCTCCGTGAAAACATGGAGTTCCTGTGAGCAAACGGGGACTCATGGATGGGACAGCCCCGGCCGTGGCTCGTGGTTTGGAGGCTGCCCGCGGGTCTTGAAGGAAAGGCTTTTGTGAGGTGTGTGAGGGAGCGAAGCGAATCACCCGCCCGCCCCGACTTTCCCGCCGGTTCCCTCGCCCTGAGCGTCTCCTCCGCTTGGCGTTCCTGAGGGGCATCTTTTAGAATACACCGGCGGAGGTGCGCCCAGCGCTTCGCTGAGTTCTGAGTAGTTCTGCCACGTGATTGAACCTGAGGAGGGTGGGGGCGCCCTTGGTTTGTAGGCGGGCATTCAGAAATGAAGACGGGTGTCCAGAGGCAGGGACTGGCGTCTGCGGGGTGCAGCTGCGGGGAGAACGCTGAGCTTGTGTGGTCGGCGCTGACTCTGGGTGGTGTCGTTAGTGAGTTGTTCGACGTCCGGTTGGGGCTGGAGCGTTGACTGGTGTTGAGCAAACTGAACGTTTTCTCTCAGAAGAAAGACATGGCTTAGTCTGCGCTAGAGGGAGATGCCGGTGTCCGCCGGAAACCCTGCCGGGTTCTGCACATGCGCTGTCCCACTGGGTACTGTCCTGTTCCTCCAGGTCTCCTCCCGGGGAGAGAGGGGACTGGAAACTTAAAGGAAAGGAGTTCTGAGAATTATCCCTTCCCTGCATCCTGCTGCCAGCCCCCACCCACTAACCCACTACTGAGCACGCCTATTGGGCATTTGCACGGCCACACCCCTCCCAGGACAGGGTTCTACCCTAAGGAATTGTGCCCATGGCAGCTTTGCTCATAGAGTGTTCTGCCAAGAACACACACAGTGCCCAGAAGACTCCTGGCTCATGTCAGTCCCAGGTACTGGATCTGTAGCAGGAACCCGTTTTCTTCAGCAACCCAGGCTTCTGGACCATCTGATCCTAATCTCCTCTGCCTTCGTGGATACGGGAATCAGTCAGATTGTAGCCCTGCCTGGCCTGCACTTGCAGCACAAACCAGTCCTTCAGTCAGTCCGGCCCTGCCCCCACCCATGGCTTTTGATAGCTCCTTTCTCTCTCCTGCTTTTTTCTTCCTCACAGATCCTCCTTCCTGTGCTCAGTGTGCCTAAGTTAATTTCTCAGGTGCCTACAAGAATTCAGATGTTAGTGAGTTCAAGACCATGCCTTTAGACCTGAATGTTGTAGGAGCAAACACAAATTAGAAAGAAAAGGCTTAATGGTCTCTCTTTAGAATTAGGGAAGAATTTTTGCTCTTCCTTTTCTTAAAGCAGTTAGTTTGAAAAAAAAAATTTTTTTTTTTTTTTGAGACGAAGTCTTGCTCTGTCGCCCAGGTTGGAGTGCAGTGGTGTGATCTTGGCTCACCACAACCTCCCCCTCCCAGGTTCAAGCAATTCTCCTGCCTCAGCCTCCCAAGTAGCTGGGATTTCAGGCATGTGCCACCACATTTGGCTAATTTCTGTATTTTTAGTAGAGATGGGGTTTCACCATGTTGGTGAGGCCAGTCTCAAACTCCTGACCTCAACTGATCCGTCCACCTTGGCCTCCCAAAGTGTTGGGATTACAGGCATAAGCCACTTGCCTGTCTTGAAAACTATTATATTTATATATTTTTTCTGCTTCTTTAAAATATACATGTCATTTTTATCAGTTAAATAGGTCATTTGTCTTTTTTCAATCAAACTTTTCTAGGACCTGGAAACTATTGCTTCTATTGCTTTGAAATGTAAATAGTAAGAACATACAACCTACCTCACAATTTCTTTAGGAGATTAGGAGGTGCCTTCAGCAGGTACCTAGCTCCACATTGCAAATCTACCTCCGTCATGAAGATGTTATTTTTTCTTTTTCTTCTTTCTTTTTTTTTCTTTTTGAGACGGAGTCCCACTCTGTCCCTTAGGCTGGAGTGCAGTGGCTGCAATCTCAGCTCACTGCAACCTCCACCTCCCAGGTTCATGCGATTCTCCTGCCTCAGCCTCCCGAATAGCTGGACTACAGGCACGTGCCACCACGCCCCACTAATTTTTTGTATTTTTAGTAGAGACAGGGTTTCTCCATGTTAGCCAAGATGGTCTCGATCTCCTGACCTTGTGATCTGCCCGCCTCAACCTTCCAGAGTGCTGGGATTACAGGCATGAGCCATCGTGCCCAACCCTTCTTTTTTTTTTGCTTTTGGGATGGAGCCTCCCTCTGTCACCCGGGCTGGAGTGCAGTGGCACAATCTCGGCTCACTGTAACCTCCACCTCCTCGGTTCAAGTGATTATCCTGCCTCAGCCTCCTGAGCAGCTGGTACTACAGCTGTGTGCCACCACATCCAGCTAATTTTTTGTATTTTTAGTAGAGATGGGGTTTTACCATATTGACCGGGCCAGTCTTGGACTCCTGACCTCGTGATCCATCTGCCTCAGCCTCCCAAAATGCTGGGATTACAGGTGTGAGCCAATGTGCCTGGCCCAGAAGTTTATTTTTTCTATGAATATTACCAATTAGAAAACCCAGATGACCTCCCAAATTACTAGGTGAAATTATAATAAACTATATGACAAATGGTGCTCTCATGTCTTCTACTTGAGAATTAATTATGGTGAGTTTCTGTATTTGCAGTCTCTTAGTAGGTTGCCTGTGATGTACATCTCATTTTGGTTTAATTATGTTACAAAACATTTTCTTGCTTTTCTATTGTTGTGGACAGTATTTTAGGATTGGAGATGATTTTGCTTTTAGTTATATTTTCCACACACTGTCCAGAATTATCAGATGTTATATACAAAGTGCCTACTAGGCTTTACTTTAGAGAAAGACCTTTCTCAGGATTCCACTCACAACCCACAATTTTGTGGCAAAGTGCACAAAGTACAGTAAAGTACTCCCCAAATCAGGAAATAGAATGTTTTCTCTGTTTGAGAGCTATAGTCCCTTCTATAGCAGTTATACTAGATTTCTACAAAATAACTTTTTAGGACTGCAATCAGTTATTTCTCCTCCTTTACTGTGCCTGGCATCTTCAAATCTGACACTGATTCAGTGACCATGGGGCCCATAAACCCAGCCAGGATCACACGTGTGCATTGATTAAACCTGAGAACTTCAACTCTCTCCTCCTTTTGCTTGAATGCCCACAAATGTGCACAACTCACCACCCCTCCAAGTCTTAAATGTGCAGTTCCAAATTCTGAATGTCCTGGGATTTGAGAGAAGAATAAATAGAACTTTCATCTGAGAAATACAAGTTATTTTAATTATGAGACCCAGTGATACATTAAAATGAGACCACAGTCATGTACTGTACCTCTCTTTGAACGATTTGTCTTTTGACATTGCTTGCTACTGCCACAAATGGCTATAAATTAACCTGATAATGTCATACTGGACACTATAACCCACACCTTATAGGTTAACAATGTATATAGCCAATCACTAACCACTTATTTCTGTAAACCAATAAGAATTTCTGACAACTTTTTTTTTTATCAGTTCCTTCTTGCTTTCCTTTTTAACTTTAAAATTATACTCATAGCTGCTTCTAAATGGAGTGTATATTGAGGGCAGCTTATACTCCAGCGTTGCATCTTCAAGCTTTGGCCCAAATAAACTCTCTACTTATGTTTACCCCAGGTTTTTCCTTTTAGGTCAAAATATTCTTTACAGTGTGTTGAAGGAGCCTCCATGAGAGGATCCCTCCTGTGGTTTTACTGTGCTTGCTGTAACTCCCAAGAATGCTGAGGCATATTGATCCCACCTAGAATCTGCACTTAAAAACTGACTACTGCTTAGTGTTTACAAGACAGGACCAGACTTTGGGCTGAAAACATACAGAAAACTCTTAGAAGACATTTTCTGCGTCATGAGAGGCCAACATAGACATCTTAAGCCCCACTTTCAGATTGGAGCCCCTTGAGTTTTCAGATCTTGTCCAGTGACCTGCTATAGCTGTGTGGGAGGCTTCTGGTATGAACAGAATCTCGTGGCAGAATCTATAAGTGTAAACAAGCACCTTAACAGTGGGATGTCAGGGCCACAAAATACCCAGAGCCATAATCACAACTATGCCTTCCTGTAAATTGTGTTACTTGAGTAGAGTACTTTTATCCTTCCCCTACCTCAGAGTTAGCTGGTCAGGGACAGGGGATATTACATCCAGATCTAGGATCTGCAGCTTCACTAGGGCTGTTCCATTTTCTGTTTGTACCCCACAAATTCAGCCTGAATCTCCTGCCTGGATCACTATGGGGACATCAGCCCAAGGTCACTAGGGACGTTCTCACCAGCATCTGTATATGAGAGATCTGAGGACGTCCTGTACAGACTGGGGTCAGTCTGACAGCAAGGTCTAATTCTGCTCCCATTTTAGACAAAGAGAAATGACTTATCCTCCCCTCACAGAAAAAAATCTTCTTGGTTTGTGCCCAGATAAGAGTTGCTCCAGTTTTCTAGTTTTTTGGTGAAAAATGAGGAGATCTGAAGACTCAAACTGATCAATAAGCTAATTGCTTGTATTTCATATGGTCATTAGAAAAAGAGCTGAAGGCCAGGCATGGTGGCTCATGCCTGTAATCCAAGCACTTTGGAGGCCAAGGCGGGCGGATCACCTGAGGTCGGGAGTTCAAGACCAGCCTGACCAACATGGTGAAAC